ATATAAAGCTTATAGTATGTAGACAAGACTTTAAGCTCATCATTATCCAGCTTCATTACAGTTCCTCTTAGCCTACTGTCCAGAAAGTGGAAAAATAAATGTTAACAAACATTATAACCTGACAGGAACAGGACATTGAAGTTATTTATGTGACAAAAAAAAAAATGTCTTCATCATCAGTTGTCATAACAGCTTAAAATCATTTTCTGTGTTTGCCCATGAAATAGCCAACATGCTGTCAATGAACACATTTTTTTAAACATTAAACACACCATAAATTCCTAAAAAGATAAGAAAGCCTGGGAAGTAAAGTATTTAAATAACTGATATGTTAAAAACACAGTATTTTAATACTTTGAATATAATTTCTGTAGTAATACATCAAAATAAACATTTTTAGATAACGTTTCTACCTAGAATCAAACCCTCAAAAGCACAATATCTGAACCTGTGAAAGATATTGTATACCGGACTAAAAGGCGCACTCTCAGTTATGTGTCCCATTTCTGTATTTAACACACACATAAGGCGCACCGGACTATAGGGCGCGTTTTTTATATACAGGTACATGTCCTCTACTACCTTTAAATACCTCTACTGCGTATTTAAAAATACAGCGGGGGCAAAACTGAGTATGACTGTGCTTTATTCATGTATTTATTACAAAGTATTAATCAAACCTGGCAGCTGGCCGTGAGACAGCCACATCGCAGATGACACAGCGCTGTGGTCACTCCTAAATTAACTTAAAATCCTGAAACCTGCCGTGGGAATATGTTCGCTTTTATTACCGGTATCCTGGTGCCTGCAGCTAAAATTATTTAGATGAAAAACACCTGCCAGCCGCCGCGGTGAACGAAAGGATTTCTCCTGTCGGCGCACCGCTGGTATGTGGGGGTCTGAGCGCCTCCGACAGAAATAGATAATCTGGATGAACTGACTGCAATTATTAAGTTTTCAGGTGGCCTTTCTCACTTAAAAACATATTAAAACTACTTTATTCCAACTGATCACAGCAAATATAGCTGCAAGATTTAGATTATTTAGATGAAAAAACACCTGCCAGCCACCGCGCTGAAGAGGAGGAGACGCGCCCACAGGCTGCTGTTGAATTAAGTTTTCAGGTAGAAAAATAGAGCGGGAGCAAAACTGAGTATGATTGTGCTTTATTCATGTATTTATTACAAAGTATTAATCAAACCCATCAAAGTCATCATCCTCTGTTATCCTCAGCATTCCTCTGAATTAAACAGCTGCGCTAAATCAGACATGCCAGTTTCCCCTTCTTCGCTGTCAGTCACTTTCCGTGCAGCGCAGCTCCTCAGAAATAATGCCGGCTTTTGCGAAAGCTTGAACAACAGAGCCAGCAGACACAGTCCATCTACAATCCATCCGCAAACGGTGGCGTAACTTGCACGGCGCTGCCTTCCACTTATCCTGAAACTGTGGTCTCAGTCTGTCATCCATCGCTCCCACGCCGCTCGCAGCCTTACTGTGAACGGCCGCTCCACACCGATGTTGGGCGGTTGAAGTTCCTTTGTCAGACCCTCCGGGATAACGGCGAGCACAGCGTTCATTTGATTCATCTTTTTTTCACATCGGCTGTGAAATGGGCACGCAGCGATGGTGATGCGTGGAAAAAAGCACCTGGTCTCCTCACATACACCTGCCTTTCATCATCTCCTCATTCATCCTGCCCGTTTCATTTGCGTTAATATCATATGTCATCAGAGCGCTGTCAGTCTCGCTGTCAGCTCCCAGATCAGCTTCTCTGATTGGTTGATGCGGCGCGTCCAGCAGCAAAACTTCAATTTTTCCATCTGAGCAGCAGCAGCGCGTTGGCGGTGCGTCAGATGCTTAAACGCTCCCTACGTGCTGCACCAAAACGCGCTGCAGGACCTTTTGCTGCACCTATATGCGCGTCAACCATTGACTTTGCATGTAAACTCGCTGCTTCTGCTGCACCTGCTGGGTACGGTTCACACCGATGTCGAGCGGTTGAACAGCGAGCACAGGGTTAATTTGTTTCCCCATGTTTTTCACATCAGCTGTGAGATGGGCACGCATGGAGTTACATATTAACAGCGATGGTGAGGGGTGGAAAAAAAAACACCTGGTCTCCTTACATTCAGCCACTCTTTCATCATCTCCTCAATGAGGTGGTCTCAAAAGTCACAGTTACAACACACATAGGGCGCACCGCACCATAGGGCGCACCGCACATTTTGAGGGAAAAAAAAGACGTTTAAGTGCGCCTTATAGTCGTGAAAATACGGTATTGTGGATGTGTTCTGATCCTACACTATAGTACTTCTTCATGAGCAGTTTGAATGTATTTATTATTACCTGACAAAATCGCATAGAAAGCATAGATGTGATGTCTTTGTTCTCATTACTCTTGTTCCTGACCCATTTGAAATTATTTATATCGACACAAAGATTTGCTCTCTCTTTTTTGCGAAATATAGAAAAGTAGAATAGAAATGTTTTTTGTAGTCCCACATTGGGGAAATGTATGTGTCCCAGCAGCAAAATGAATTGCAAATAACAGCAATAATAGAAGTGCAAAAAGAATGACAAAACAAACAAAAAATACAAATAGACAGTAATATATAAATCTACAGTAAGGGCAAATCTGCAACTCAAATAGCAAAATATGTTAAAGCCATAATAGTTAAAGATAGCATAAAAGGTGTGCAATTGAGTTTGGTGAAAAGTGCAAAATGTATATGTGTGTTTTTGCAAAAAACACCATAGACTACTTTTAATTAGATCTCAACCCAGCTCCTCTGTAGTTTAGCTAAGGTCATTATTCTGTTGTAATGTGAATTTTTGCCCAATCAAGTTTTTATAACCCTCAACTTGTGTTATAATCAGTTGAACCTATTATTTTAACATTCGCAAAAACACTTTTTATAATTTGTTTTCTTACTATCTTAAACATTTCCACCAGGTTTTATAAATGACTTATATAATATTATGTTGCCTTTAAGATGAAACCTTGCTTAACAGTAGGGATTTTTCCCCCTTTAGAGGAATAGTGTATTTTGTGGTTAGTTCAACTGCTCCATCTAGTGTTCATAACAGTATAAAATAGTCAAAACGCAGCAGCAACTACTGCTGATGCATCATGCAAGATGGGTTTACTTTGAGGTCAAACATCTTAAAAGTCTAAACATTCTACTGTAGCACTTAAACTTTCCCAATTATAAATCTTTTATAGGATTTTTCTCTAGACATTGTTTTACAAGCATAATCAATAAATATCTATTTTATGGGTGTTTTACTTAATACAATTAAACTGCAAAAAAAGATCTTTGTAATAAAAAAATCTCTCTAATGCGAATCTTCACCATTGTCTCATCGATATGTTCAGTCAAAGTGGAAATGCCCGAGTAACCAGTTTACACAGAGCATTAACGGATCATTTTACATCATTTTTGTAACATGAGAGCAAAGTCTTCAGGCCCCCAAGAAGGAGGTAGACAGTCGCAGCTCGCATATTTGTTCACTATTCTACATTCTAGTTTTTTCTTTCATCAGCTACTTCTCCTCCATTTTTACCAGCAACACAAAGAACAGGCAAAATAGTGTCTGCCAGATCAACACTGATCACTAAATGAATCCTCAATGGCCACTTTACAACTTATTATAATGGTATGTCGCTAATGTCCTGTAATGATCCTTCCTGTTGATGGCCACGCCTCAATGCTTTCTCCTCCACTGCGCCTCTGACAGTTGTCTGACAATGCTTTGAACTTTGGAGAATCAAGTCTCCTCTCCTTTCCCTTAGCAGCATTTTCTGAGTAGTCCAAGTATAAAATCATTGCTGTTTGGCTTATCTACGGAAAAGGATGACTTTTCCCTTGAGAAAATCTGTTTCAGGTAGGCTGTCTTTCCTAATGTTACATTTTAACTGTGCATGTTTCATTCTTTTATGACATACACTGTGGGAAAGTTGATATATTTCCATAAAATTGTTTTCCATACATAAAGGAACACCAGATATTATACTGAATAGTTTGTGTGTAGAGGGACATTTACATTAAGACCATCCGTTTTCGAGCCTAATGTTGCTGTCCATGGTGCTGAAATATAGATGATTTCACTTCTCCGTTTTTTTAACCTTTTTTTTTTCTTGTATTTATTTGAGCAAAGCTTTGTGTGTGAACGTTTTTTTTATAGCAATTCGATACATCTAAAATAATTTGCCAATCATCCCCTCCTTCAGGTTGTGGAATTTGTTGTGATCAGTGCTTGTATTTCCGACGGATTCCTAACCGTAAGGTGTGGCGTTTGCATTTATTTGGGAAGTAAAACAAAACATGTCCAGTGTCAATTTTGGTCTTACAACTGTAGATGGCACCATTGGTTAATCTTTGAAATGTGTCCAGTGGGGAGTGAAGGTAGTGCGACTCGTGATGCTTGGAGATGGCGGATTGAACCTTAAAGTATTTTTGCATCTCCTTTATTTTAACTCTCCAGTTATATTCCTCTATTTTTTTTTCTTTTAAATACAGATTTTGACAGACTCAATTTTATAGGATTTACAAAGCCTTTAATTTCCAGATCGTTTTAACAAGTCTGTGTTCTTACTATTTTAATATTCATACTCATATTAATTATAACACTTTTTTTTTATTTGTCTTAGTTTTTGGATGCTTAAGCCGTGCGTACAGTAATGATTCTTGCTTTCAATTAAACTGGCATCTAAACATAGCAGAATGTGACTGTCCTAATCGAAATTCTTAGAGCTGTTTTCTCTAATACTTCAAATATAGTATAAATAGAAAATCTGTGATGTTATTTTACCCCTTGTTTGGATTACTTCCTTTCACCACCCACCCTAATTTTCTCTCTTCATGCTTCACATGAAATGTATGTCAGCTGTCAGTTGTGTTGACTCTGTGCGCACTCTCTGACTTTGTATCTGTGCTATAATCTCCAGTATACACACAGACTTGTCCGTCCTCTCCCTCCTCCTGCTCAGTCTTCAGGTTCCTGGATGTGGAGACGCTCTGAGCAGCGTGGCTGACTGTGTTTGCGCTGCGCGCTCATTTACTGATTCAGTATGGGGCGTTTCCTGCTACTCTTCATGGGGCTGCTTGGTTTCCAGCAACTTGAACAGGAGAAACAAAGAACACAAACGGAATCTCTATAGTGATACATTTATTCTGCTATGAGTTTATAAACGCCTTACCAGTCGGGGAGGATTAAGGGAAGCAGTCACGGAGGCGTCTGCAAACAGGTGTTTCCACCCACTGAGTTTCATTCAGCAGACCGGTTACTATGCAGGAAAGCTGCTCTAATTGTAACAGGATGGACACTTAATGACAGTGTTCTTTTTTTTTTTTTTCTTGAGTTAGAAAAATTAGAAAAACATGCAACGCGGTTTAATTAAAGCATTTTTTATATATATCTTCTTGTGGACAGTCGAATTTCCATGCGTCAAACTTCACTTTTTTCCGGACAATTCCTGAATAAAGCCTGGATCAGTAGAACATGATCCCTTAGGGGGTCATTTCAGCAAGCTGGTTTATTTCCCCCTCGGGGACTATTCCATTTCATTTTCGGTGCACTTTGAAAAATCTTCACCTCTGGCATCGTGCTAGTTGCCTCAGATTGTCTTTTGTCGCTGCGCTTGGACGTTTTCTTGTCAGTGTCAGAAACCACTTTTGCGGATCAATCCACTTTTTTTCCTCTGGAAGTTTTCTTCCCCAGACCGCTGCCAAACTGGCTATGGCAGCGGCTATCGCCAGCTCCCTCATCAGGCAGAAGAGGCAGGCGAGGGAGCGGGAGAAGTCTAATGCCTGCCGCTGCGTAAGCAGCCCCAACAAAACCAAGGGAAGCTGTGAGAAACCCAACCGACTCAATGTCTTCTCACGTGTCAAACTCTTTGGCTCTAAGAAGAGACGCAGGAGGCGACCAGGTCTGTTTTCGGGATATTTCAACTTTATTAGGAGATACAATATTATAAAAATCATGTATACAATAGAAATATAGTATTCTAATTTATGTTCTAAGAAAATAAAAGGATCCTTCACTTTATCCAAAATGTGTTTAATAATTTACTTTCTAACTTCCAAACCAGGCTTTTTTTTCATTCAGAACATTAAACGTTTGTTTCCAACAATGTGATCACATTTAATAAGCCAAGACTCACCAATGTAAAAAAAAAAATATTCTAATTCTATAATTTTAGAGAACCAGCAGTCACCTCCAGTTCCCATCATTGATTGACAGGTTAAATACAGAATTACCTTTTTTTCTCTGTGAGTCTGTTAGTGTGGATGAAAAAGTTGTCATTATATTATTTTCTGTTTGTTCTTTTTAAGACAAAATTTACTACAAAGCTGAATGTTGTGCCTGTGGGTGTATTCAAACTCTTCATTGCATTTTAAAGTAATTTTATTATCATCAGTACAATGCCTGCCTGGCAGGATGAAGGTGCTGGGTTCCGATCTTAGCCTGGGGTGTTTTTGCACAGAGTTTGCAAGTTCTACCAAAGGATGTGCATGTTTACTGTAGCCCCCCACAGACTAATAGCATGCCAATCAGGTTGAATGGTCTCTCCTTAAGGAATGATTTTGTGCGTGCATGGCTGTTGTTATATTTGCCTTTATGCTGTCCTGTGGTGGACTAGTGACCTGTCCAGGGTGTACCTCATACTATCCCTTTTGTGAGCCTGCATAGACAAGAAAACTCTCTAACATTTGAAGATAATAGATTATCAGCCTTATACATCTGCTTATTCAACTATAAAGTAACATTAACATGTTTTTCTTAGAGATCAGCACTATACAACTAGAGACCCAAAGAGAACAGTGATTGTTCCTAAATAAAATTGAGAAGATAAGACGTGAGGTGTGGTTAAAAACAAAACCAAAACACAACCCCCCCCCAACAGGGACAGTAGACAGATAATGGAAGGCACTTAGCTCTAATTGGACATTCATGATGTAACGCAGCACCAACAAGAATAGGTGCAGACTGACATTTTCTTTTGAAATTTCTTTTGATGTGACAGGAAAGTAAAAAAAAAAAAAAAAAAAAAAACATTATACATAAACAGACGACAAAGACGACGAGTAAACATTGCTGGTATAAATTAATTACAACTTTGTTATCAAGAAGACTGCAGAATAATATACACAAGATATGATTTTACTTCTATTTGATATAATTCAATTTAGTTATCTTAATTTCAGCACAGTTCACAACTTTATCTTACCGTGCTTTTCAAGGAAGAGGTTTAACATACTTTCCAATTACCCAGAAATTTCAGATTGAGAAAACTCATACCATTTAACTGTAATTATATAGACTGATAAGATGTAAATTAGTTTGCCATTTTAAAATGGCTATTCTACAAGGCAAAGTGATTTGTTTGTGTGAGGTTTAATCCTCAGAAAATAGATATTTATTATTATTATTAATATTATTAATATGTCTTTGTACTATGTTCTTTCTCGGATAAAGTCTTTAAACAGCTGAGACATTGCATACTTTGATATTCACACATAGAATTAATGTTAATTTTGTTCATGCCATCATTGTCTTCTATCATTTTTTCAGTTTTATAGTGTGACTCCATTACATCTAATTCTTTGCTCAAAAGACCATTAAAGTTTAATAAAAAAATGAAAGATTATGTGTTTGGCCAGTTTGATTTTAGAATGCTCCTTAAATCAATGCATTATATCTTTTGGTTAAATGTACATTTTCCTATATCTTTACATTTATTTTAAAAATGGCACCTTTAATGATAAGCCATACCTGCCGTTTTAATGTTGTAAACAGTGTCAACAAAAAATGTGGAGTAAAAAAAACAACAACTGACATTTGGAAAAAGATTCTTTCCTCATCTCCGATAGCAGGACTATTACACCTCCATGGCCTGAGACATTTTTGCTCTGATTGTTCTTGTCTATCTGTGGTATTATTCCTTTCTAGTCTTGCCTCAGGGGCTCCTTTTTAGCCCTTTCAGTTTTCTTATATCATTAACGAATACCTGCCAGTAGCCATTGTTTCCATAACTATAACAACCAGAATCCAGCTAGTTCTTTCAAATTTACCCCTTTAAAACCTTATATCAGTGTAGAAAAAACAAAAACAAAACAACATTACAGACTGTGGAAGTCCTTAAAGACTCTTTAAGTCTTTGAATGCCTTTGATTCCTTTATTCACAAATCTCATTTTAGCAACTTCTGCTTGCATTGTTGCAGCTGTCATTTTTGGGTTTTGAAATGCCTATCGATATCAATCAAAATCATGAAGTTGTTCATTTTCATCCTCTTCACTTTAGACACATTTGACAGAAATTGCTTTAACTGGCCTTTGTGACATTTTTTTTAATGCTCAACTTTAGAGCTGCAAAATGTATTGAATCAAAAATCATCTTGGTAATATCAGCATGGTTCAATATCACTATTGCAAATAAGTGGTTGATTGCAATTTTTGATGGGCTCATAAAGTGTAAGACATCTACACATTGCAAGACAATAATACATTAGTATGTTTAATGGATTCTCACTGCCCTTTTAGCTCACACTTGATGGGGAGGTTGAAGTGATTAAGATGTTGTGGCTTTCTAATTCATTAGAAATAGAAATCAAATGTGGATAATGTTCAAGTTTATCATTATTGCCAATATTTAGAATTAATGTCGCAACTGCATGTTTAGCAAATATTGTGCAACACTAATGAGCATTTTGTTCTTCTTTCCTTGCTTCCCATCTGCTTTCACAGAGCCCCAGCTAAAGGGGATTGTTACGAAGCTGTACAGTCGACAAGGCTTCCACCTGCAGCTGCAGGCAGATGGAACCATTGATGGAACAAAAGAGGAGGACAGTGGTTACAGTAAGTTCCTACATTTTTGTCCTACAGATACATTTTGCCCTTGGTGCGTCAGGGTGAAAATAGGATCTAGACAAAACCTTACCTTATACACTGTATGTGAATTCTTTAAAGACCAATTAGTTGGCCAGTATTCGCTTGCTTGACTCTGATTAGTGGTTTGATAAAATCAGATTTTACATCTATGGTGATATTCCTTTGAACAACACTGTTTAACATTTGGCCACTAGGGGCGCTACACCGGCCTCTCAGGTTTAGCACCCCAGAAAGCAATTGGTTACACTACACTGTCCCAAAATAAAAGCCCTCCATGTTTGTAATCTGCTATCAGACCACTTTGGACCAAAAGAGTGAGAAGTCATGGAGTCACTTGTAAAGACAAGACGATATTCATCACTCCATATTAAACCAATATTAAGTAGCGTTTCCACCTTCATAAAATATTTTCCGAACTTTGTGATTATACGTCGACTTGCAACTAGTTGAATGATACCTCTGTAATGGCCAATGGGGGTCTGTATCGCTTTCACCAGTGATAAGCAACTTTGAGGAGGGTGGCAGTAACTGCCCAAGACAAAGGAACTAAAAATATTCACACTGCTTTACGGGATACGGCAATTCCCCCTTTCCCCATTTGTTATAAAGACAGAAGTCAAAGCAACCAAATTTTCCTGGGAGACTATATATTCATTTAAACTTTGCAGGGTTTATATTCAGGCAATGCGGTCCCTTCTTACAGGGATTTATATGTGTGTTTAATGTATAATGATCAAACATACATTTTTTTTAAATCTGTTTCAAGGCTCTAGTCTCATCCTCACATCAGTTACTGATGACTCGAGTGAGGTGGAGAGGAGTTGGAATACAGTACAAAACCAAAGTTAAAGGTTTCTTTTTTTCAACATTGTCATATGACATTGTTTTGCCACAGTTAGCTTCATTACCTCATCGCTATTCATCTCTCAAACAGCCACTGAAAACAGAAATGTAGATCAATCCAGCTGCAGGTGACCAAGACATCAGGATTTTACCACACTATGATCTTTACCATTCTGGTCCTCATGGGAAATGCTTTCTCCTTTCAGGCAAAACAATACAGCTTTTGTTTGCTGGGGGGGGGAGCTAAAATCAACTAAACCTGAAGGTTATTTAGAACTGCTTTAAATTCTACATTAGGGAACCTAAAATATGTCTGATCAAGTGGCATTGCTGATGTTATTAAGGAACCTGCGGTATATTTAGGTAATCTTTGTTATAGACCTTTGGAAAAAAAATGGAACACCTGGAAATCTGTATTGTCCAGCAAAAGCCTGAGCAGTGCATCTTTTCAATTTAATCCTTCACAGACTAACCTGTAATTGTCATGGTGTGATTACAACAAACACATTTTAAGTGTCGGAGGCAAACAGTTCACATTCAAAATCTATGGTGTCTATAAGATCAAATATAAAAAAACATTTGATCTTACTAGTACTTGAGGTTTTTAGCATATGTCAAAAAAATGCTTTTTGACACCACTGCAAACGGTGCCCCTGAGGGCTTGGTTGGTTTGAGGGAACTGTCTCTGGGGTTCCGAATGCTACAACTCAGCTCAATTATTCAAACCAATTCAGTTTATTTTTTGCACCAATTCACAACAGGTCATTTCAAGGCACTTTACAGAGACAATTCAATCAGTTAATAGCAATCCCTCACACCAAGCATGCATGCAGCGAAAATGTGGAGGAAAGCTCCCTTTTAACTGGAAGAAACCTCCAGCAGAACTAGGCTCAGTGTGAGCTGTCTTTGGCTGGGGATTAAAGGAGACATAAGCAGACATATAAAAAAGAACATAGAAAAACTGATCAATAAAAACTTTCGGTTAGAAAAGGCAACTATAAATATAATGGTAAATGCAGAATATTTAAAAGAAGGATCCTAATTCTGATTAAATAACTGCATGGCGGGTGTTTTATGGTGTACTTTTTCAATTGTAAAACAGCTTAAAGCTACTTTTCTTCCACTCATATCAGCAAATAAAGCCAAGCTACTCTATCAATTGTATCTGTCATTGCACACAAGGGACTGACAAAGTCACACATATCTGTACACACTGTGTTGATGCACAACTGTCTTCAATGTGCACAATCATCCAAGTTGAGGCGTTGGATGCCTTTTTGATACTCAAAACACTTTTGGTGTGAACACACCATTACACTTTTCAACAACTTATTAAATTGTACCATGAATTCTGGCTCTAGCTGTAGCTTTTTTGTGTGTTTGGTTATATTTAACAGCATTCAACCTCAGTAAATGGGTCATTATACAGAGCAAACAAAAGTTTCTCTCAACACTTCAAGTGGCTCATTACTGAGAAGCGCTATAATTTCCTCTGATTAATCACTCTTTTTCAAACTTTAGCACATGTCACAACCGTCTTCCTCTTCTACACTCAGTGTGAAAGACAGTTAGAGAAAGATTTGTCTTATACTATGCACTGATTCATTCCTGCTGTAGCTGCAACACCCACAAGCTCTTTGTTTAATAGTTGAAACAGGAGATGAGTGGAGGAAAAAAACAGGAAAGCCACTTGTCTGATAACAATGCAGCAGAAATGGATCACCTCCAAATTAAAAAGTACAAAACGTATTGCATGCTAGGAAAGTACAGTAGTCAGCAGTGACTAAATTTAATAAGTTTTGTCCAAGATAATATTTTGGTTAAACAAAGATATTTGATGTAACACTCAGTTAGGAGTATGTGCTAACCAGATTGTTTTAATGACAATAAGGGCACTAAAGATATCGCCGAGGACAACTAAGCAAAAGTTGGCATCAAGATAGAAAAAATGATGTTTAAATGCTTTATGCTTACATATACATATTTATTAGATACTACTTATCTAATGAACATGGTCTACCTTAGATCTGCTTGGTCTCCGATTTCTATTAAGTTGCATAATAACTGGCCCGGATCAGCACCAAAGTAGTTTTTAAAAAGAAAATTAAAGAGGGCTACAGAACATGAGGAGAAGGAGTGAAGCTCTTTGCGCTGCTCCAAAAATAGCGTTGTTAGGCACTGGGTGCGCTTGTCTCCATGGTGACGGAGAGTGCAGTCCTCCTGGAGCTGGTGGTGTCTTGTGATGGTGGGAGAGGACCTCCTCAAATGTGGGCATATACACATAGACACACACAGATGCACACAAGAAAGGATTTCATTTCTGCTCCTTTAGTCAACTTTGCTGACAGATTCTGGCTTGTTTGACTGAGGTTACAACAGGTTTGTTGATTCTCTAGCATCTTTACGAGAAGGGGAGGAGATACAAACAAAACAATCTAAGCTGGATAAATGCTTATATATTTCTCCCTTGACTTAGATTCTTGCTTTGCATCACAACTAAACAAACCACTTTTGCAGAAACACTTTTGAAACAAAGCAAAATTTGCTTTACAGCGGAATGTCAAAAATTTTATGAATTCATCCTTGTAACTTTGATCCCCTGAATCAAAGTGATGGTGAGTGCAAAAGCTATTGTTCTGATAGGTGAATACTTCATTTGAAAGACAAGCTGCTAGCTAATGATCCCTCCATGGCCAGGGAGAACTCCTAAAATGGAAGAGTGTTACATAAGCAGTGGAGTAAATGATCACATACTTTCCTCATTTATCATATCGTTATTAGACTTGGTGATTAAAGATTCATTTTGTCCTCCTCATATGGGCAAATGAAATATTTTCAGTGTCCAGCAGGTTGAATTAATACAATTTAGTAAATAATTATTAACAATTATTAAACATAATAAATATTTTATTGGAAGAATATTAAACAATCCTGGATAAAACTAGAAAAATGAAAAAAATAATATAGATACAGTGGGGCAAAAAAGTATTTAGTCAGCCACCAATAGTGCAAGTTCTCCCACTTAAAAAGATGAGAGAGGCCGGTCATTTTCATTATAGATATACCTCAACTATGAGAGACAAAATGAGAAAAAAAATCCAGAAAATCACATTGTCTGATTTTTAAAGAATTTATTTGCAAAATATGGTGGAAAATAAGTATTTGGTCAATAACAAAAGTTCATCTCAATACTTTGTTATACATGTATACCCTTTGTTGGCAATGACAGAGATCAAACGTTTTCTGTAAGTCTTCACAAGGTTTTCACACACTGTTGCTGGTATTTTGGCCCATTCCTCCATGCAGATCTCCTCTAGAGCAGTGACTAAATACTTTTTTGCCCCACTGTAAATAAATTTTAATATTTTTTATATGCTTTAAAATACTTTTAATGACAGGATTTACTACAGTATGTAGCACTTGTCATTTTCCAGGGTAAATGCAAAGCCAGCAAAGAAAAAGATGGCCACAGAAAAAGATGCATTGATCTACTTGCAATTACCGCACTTTAAAGTTCCCTTCTATAGACTGTAATGGCGGGACCAATTGACATTTCAATAGTCCTCTTCTTTTCTACTGGTTTGGACATACAATAGACGCAGCATTTATGGCCTGCTCAGGTTCCACATCCGTCCGTCCATCCGTCCATCCATCCATCCATCCATCCATCCATCCATCCATCCATCCATCCATCCATCCATCCATCCATCCATCCATCCATCTTATCCCACTTTCAGGATCTTGGTGGGGCTGATGCTTATCTTTACAGTGGCCAAGAGGTGTCAGGTCAAAAACAAAAGCCACAATAGAAATAAAACAGCCACACGTCACCTGAGCGGGACGATCACTCATTACGTGGCAAGTGATGCTGCCAATAACTATGATCTTTGGATCTTTAATTGGAAGATGAGCAGCAGGCACTGTTGCTTCTGTTGTATGTGGTGTGTCTTCCTTTGTGGCTTTGTATTTCCATAATTACTTATGTTTTTGTTTTACAGCTATTGTTTTTGTGTTCCAGTTTTTCTTTTTGTGTTGTGGCTTTCTGGTTTCTGGTGTGACTTTTATTTTCGCGTTGTGGCATTTGTTTTGTACCTTACACCACCTCTGCCACCGTATATCACCAG